CTTTGCAATGCGCAGTGCTAAACGAAACTGATACGCAGATGATTGAGCAACAACGTACTCGGTGTACACTCTTGTCATTACGCTTCGGTAATATTCAGAAAATGAATAGGTATTGATGGAACAGCATAACGACCTATAGAGACAAAAGGGCAAGGGAGACCATTGTCCCAAATTCAATCAAAAAAAGTGTTGGTAGAATATGAGCTCCGACAAGGCTCCCAAAAACTCCTCGTTCAATCAGATGAAAAAAAAACATTGTTACAACGGATAAAACTCCTTATATTCACAAGCGTAGAGGCATTCATGTTCACTGAATAAACCTTTCACAATCAGGAGTAAATGATCAGAGGATCACTTCTATTTGGACAAAGTGGGCGGAGAAGGTCGATATATGCAAATTTATAAAAGTTCATCTGCAGGTACGAGAGAGTATATTTGCAAAAATGGATTTGTAGAACGAAGCGCACATCATTGAGTGAGAGAAATCAGAGGAACTCTAAAAAACTAATAAATCAATGAATATGATAAAAAGTAGACAAAAAAATAAACATTAATTAACTTAATATGAATAGAATATATATGAACACTACAATGATAGAGAGGTCCCTTTCTAATTCTTCAATCCCCTAAGAGCGTCACACTATAAAAAGCTACCGTTTCAGAATTGTAATTTTGTAGCGCTGGGATTGTGTGGTTGCTGGTAAGCATCTCTCGCTTAAGATGTAATCTCAGCGAGAAAACTTGCTTCCATTTATTTGAGAAACCCGGCTAATTTCCTTGCATTCACAGTGAAGAGGTAGACTGCCGATTTGCGATCAAGCACTGTCTAGGGTCACTGTTTCGGTTCTTCACATCACCTCAATACAAAATGAAAGTGAACTGCATGGTGTATTCTGAGAAGGCTGTTTTGCTCTGAGCTTGCAGAACTCGCCATGTGCTTTGTATCTTCAACAAATCGTATCATCCCGATGATGAAGGAGCATTCCGATTTTCGTTTCTCATCAAGTCATCAAAGACTTCCAGGATAAAGGACGAGAACTTCTAGGTTTTGACTTTGATGTCACGAAGTTCGCCCACTGGACAGAAGGGAAAGTGGCGCAGACCCGTACTTTGGGATGAACAGAAACAACGAAGCAATTATGTTGAATTCAGCACCTCATTATCTTTCCGGAAATGTTCAAAAACTACGAGTTGGTGCGCCACGGTTCGAAGGCTTTGCACTACGGTGTCAGAAGACAGGCGAAAATGGACTGGGCAGATCCCGGAAAATCCGGGACCAAGGAATGAAGTACCCACAATGAAGCTTTGGTATGCGTTAATCTTTCCAATTTCATGATAGCTCGTCAGACGTTGTATCCAGAATGAGTTCGTGGTGAGGGCAGGAGAATTTTTGCAGTGACGTCCTCTCAAGCAAATTTCACAACAAATAACTCCTTTAGAACGAATGGGTGAGACTCACAACAAATGGATTCTTCACAGTATCGCTGGCTGCATCACTATACAGCCGCAGTATCCAGGAAATTTGATCGGTTTCGTCAATATGGAGACTCTGAGACTACTTGGAAAGCAGAAGTCGGTAGAATAGCCATCTTTGGCAGCGCCATAGAAGTACCCCTCGAGCCACTCAAAACACTAGAAAGATTTCTGACTGCTTTCACTGAATTCCACAACTTTTCCTTAAGGTTCTCCGACCAATCCATACAAAAAATTAGGATGGGCGACTCAGAAGAAGGGAGCATTCTAGTTTTCCATCTTTGTCGTTTTACAGTTCCTTCCAACAGGCTCGATTGTATACAAGAAGCAAAAGGACACTATCTGACGACAGGAAAATCGAAAGGGCCTCGTTCAAATCATGGTTCATTGTGAGCTCGGTCGATCGCGCGAGTTGAAGAAAGTCTATACCGAGATATCGCTTGCATTTCTTCCAAGCTCTCAACTCTTTTACCGCTTTTTGTGAATACAAAGCAAGATGTCAGGCCGTATAAAAAAGTTGCTCATGACCACACCCGGACCTTTATGAGATGTGAAGAGCCTTGAGAAAAGAGAAGGGTGATTTTTTAAACGAATGCAAAGCAATCCTCGAGGTGCTCTGAAGTTCAAAATGGATATTATCAAATTCTTAGTGACCGTATTTCGTAGAGGCTTTTTCTCAACGGTCACCTTAAAGCTGCTAGTAGCGGTAAATGGAAGTAGCGTAGGATGTCGTTTATTACTATAGTGACTTATGATGAATGCCGTCGGAACGGATCAAATTTCAGGGTGTCTGAAGATTTAGAGAAGATTTCGCCTCTCAAATTTGAAAGCATGTTGCCGCGATTGCGCGAAGGACTGTAGCTTCGATAGCAGGGAAAGGGGCATCGTTGACGGATCAATACTACAGCTGATCGGTAATTGACGTGGTCGTTCGAAATTATCGCATACCGAAGGATGTGCCATCGATACGTCTACCGCAGCCTTCTGCTTTTCCATTATGAAACTGATCGCCTGAATACTTAGGATCGGAATGGGACATGGTGACTGATTGGCAGCAATAACCCTCTTTTGTCACCTACCTAAATGGTACGATCGCTTCCTCTGAGAAGAGATTTGCTCGGACGAGGTTTGTCGAAGCGAACGTCCAGCGCCCTCAAATACATGCCCTATTCTGGCCTCCAGTCGGAGCAATCCTGTTTAGAAAGGCAGGATTTGGAAAAGACGGTCTCTATTCCCCCAACTCATCATCCACGACGTTCTAAGCAAAAGTCACTTTCAAAGCAAGGTCTTTGCAAATATCGCACGTCCTTGACTGAGCAGCAATGCCGAGTGCGAGTTAGTGTTTGTCAGAAGCCGCTCGACTGTAAGCGAACGATAACATCAATCAACTCCATCATTGCTCAGGATGAAAAGTAGATGTCATATGAAAATTCACACAGGAAATTACTATGCCTACCAGTGAACGTATGGCCATAGCTGGCTACAAAGCGAGGTGCTCGCGCTATGAAGGGCATTAGTTCTTCATCCTTTGCGCAACAGGGTGTTTTACTATGAGAGCCTACCAGAGTACACTGCGGCAAACGTAAGAGCATTCTGTTGCTGAATGAGAAGGATGGTGATTCGAGCAAGCAGCCGTGGAAGGAAAGAAACGGAAATAGATTATGTGCTAGTAAGAAGATCGCCCCTCAAAACTGTAATGGGCATCAAGGTACTAACCGGAGAAGATCAGATTTCACAGCATAGACCTCTTCTAGCAGACATAGCCATCATTCTTCCTAAGAAATCAAGGGCAAGAACGGAACGGAGGGTCCGGTGGTGGAAGTTGCGCCAATTGGAAAGAGAGCACCTCAAAGAGAAGGTACTAGAAGCTGGACCTCCAAACCCCGAAGGGCCCATTCAGCAGACTTGGAGCAGCGCTGTGAGGGTCATCCTGAGATGTGCAAAGGAAACGCTAGGGGAAACTCGAGGTGGTTTCCGAGTGGACAAGGAAGCATAGTTCTGGAATAATGAAGTCCAACGAGTTGTGAGGCAGAAGAAATCGGCATATAACCGCTGGCAAAGGACACCAGAAGGTCCCGGTCCTCCAGATGACCTAGCTGCCTACAGGACTTCCAAGAGGCTCGCCAAGGCTGCTGTCGCGAAGACGAAGAACACGGTAATGGACGCCTTGTATGAGAAACTCGACAATCCAGAAAGAGAGAAATTCGTTTTCCGTCTGGCGAAAGCGCGTCACATCGGGGTAGTAAAGTCAGTCAGGAACAGCGAGGGTGCAATCCTGAGGAAGTCTAGTGAGGTCAGGCGTTGGTGGAAGGAATACTTCTATGAGTTCCTCAACGAAGAATTCGCCCGTGAGAACAGCTCCCAATTAGAGGCAACGGCTGGCCCCATCAATCTCTGGACAGAGAATGAGGTGCGTAGAGCAATGGAAAAGACGAAGGTTGGGAAGGCAACTGGTCCGGATGGAATGCCGATCGAGTCATAGAAAGCGCTCGCATAGCACGAGATAAAGTGTCTCACCTGATTCCTGAACACAGTCACCGCTAAGGAAGAATGCCAGATGCGTGGAGGAGGAGTACTATCGTTCCAATCTTCAAGCAGAAGGGGGACGCGATGGAGTGTTCCAACTACCGGGGGATCAGGTTGACTGCTCACACGATGAAACTGTACGAGGTACTGGTCGACTCAAGATTGAGAAAATTGGTCCCACTCTCACAGGAGCAGTTCGGCTTCATGCCTGAAAGCTCTACAACGGACGCCATCTTCGTAGCTAGACAAATTATGGAGAAGTATCGAGAAAAGCGTGTAGACCCTGCTACCTAGCCCTCCTCGATTTGGAGAAGGCTTTCGAAAGTCTCCCGCTACAAGTCCTCTGGAGAGCGCTCCGAGAACGAAAAGTTCCAGAACACCTGATCTCTCTGGTGAAGGACATATACGATGGCTCTACCACAACAATACGCACCCCACACGGCCAAACCCCAAACGGTGCAATAGATATCACGGTTGGGGTACACCAGGGATCAGCCCTGAGCCCGTTCTTCTTCCTGCCTACGATGGACGTCATCACAGAAGAACTTATGGATGGACCACTGAAGACCATCCTCTACGCTGATGACATCGCTCTGATAGCGGAGAGCAAGGAAGAACTCCCGGACAAACTCCAGAATTGGCAGAGGGTATTAGCGGAGAATGGACTCCAGCTGAACGTGAAAAAAACCACGTTCCTCGGCTCCGAGGAGGGGGCACGAGTCAATCGTCGACGGTCGCGGGGAAGCCATCGAAAAGGTCCAGCACTTCCGCTACCTAGGGAGTGATTTAGCCGCTGAAGTAGCGTGGACCAGGTCGCAAAATCCCGAGTAAATGCGGCATGGATGAAGTGGAGGGAGTCCACCGGTATCCTCTGCGACCGTCGGTGCTCCAGGACCCTTAAAGAAAAGCTGTATCGGAGAGCGGTAAGGCCCACGATGCTCTGCGGCAGCGAGTGTTGGCCCGTGAGTAAATCCCATGAAGTACAGCCCCACTCCGCTGAAATGAGAATGCTCTTATGGGCCTGCGGCTGGACGCGGCTGGATCGGGTCACAAACGAAGAAGTCAGGACGGCTATGCAAACAGCGCCAGTTCAACTGAAGATGAGAGAGCAGCGTGTGCGATGGTTCGGGCATGTACCAAGAAGACTACAGAGCCATTCGATAAGGGAAGCAATGGAGTTCGAGGTTCAAGGTAAGCGACCACGAGGAGCCTCAAAGAAGAGATGGCGAGACGTGATCAAGAAGGACCTCGCCGAAGCCAAGGTGACGGCAGAAGATGCCGTAGATAGAATGATATGGAGACGGCTGACAAGAACAGCGGACCCTGCGACGGCGCATAATTAACGCTGGGGAGAAGAAGAAGAAGAAGAAGAGAACAAGGTGTTTCGATCACCCATCTCACACCGATTACAAGAAAATTTTCGATTGTGGTCAACAATAATGCACGACCACCCCACGCGAGGGAGTCGATGGATGAGCTGGAAGGACTTGACATAACTTGGCTACCCCGATCCTCACATCTTCATCGGACCTTAGCCCATATGGCTGCCATACTTTCAGAAGCTCATAGGCCTGCCCTACAGTAAAAAAATTCACCAACTGTCGAGAAGTCAAGTAGGTGGTAGATGAATGAATTGCGTCACGCCTCTCTTCATATTGGAGGGATGGCATCAATGCCAAGTCCGGTTGATGGAAAGACATTGTGGCTAAAAAAGGCCACTATTCCGATCACTGACCTGAGTGTATTGCTGTAGTTTATTTGTATTGGAAAAAACCAACTGAATTTTCTCAAAACTCCGGACATTCTTGTACACTATGACAAGAATTCAACACTACTAACTCAAACTGTGCTTAGGCTTTAAACGTAGCCAGGAAGTTCACGACCACCTTCTTCAACTTAACATCGGTGGCTGGTGAAATTTGGCCTTCGTTGTGAATGGTCTTCAGCAGGTCCTGTTGTGATGAACGGATGTGCGCGAGGAATTCCTTCTCGAATTTAGTGATCAACGATGGGTCGACCTTGTCAAGGTGACCTTTGACTCCGGCATAGATGACAGCAACCTGTTCCTCAATAGCCATCGGTACATACTGTCCCTCCTTCAGCAACTCAGTCAAGCGAACCGCTCGATTCAACAATTGTTGGGTGGGTGCATCAAGATCCGAACCGAATTGTGCGAAAGCAGCTACTCATGATATTGAGCCAGCTCGAACTTCATGGAACCAGCGACTTGCTTCATGGCCTTGGTCTGTGCAGCGGATCATACTCGAGATACAGATAGACCTACATTGATAGCTGGTCGAACTCCCTTGTAGAACAACTCGGTCTCAAGGAAGATTTGTCCATCAGTAATGGAAATCACATTGGAGGGAATATAAGCAGATACATCACCAGCTTGTGTCTCAATAACTGGAAGAGCAGTCAAAGATCCACCACCATGGGAGTCGTTCATTTTGGTGGCACGTTCGAGTAGGCGGGAGTGAAGGTAGAAGACATCACCAGGGTAGGCTTCACGGCCAGGAGGAAGACGCAGAAGCAAAGACATCTGACGGTAGTCTACAGCTTGCTTGGACAAGTCATCGTAGATGAACAGAGCGTGTTTTCCGTTATCACGGAAAAACATTCCCATGACACATCCAGAGTATGGAGCCAAGAACTGCAATGGAGACGTCTGATGCTGTCGCTGAGACGACGATGGTATACTTCATTGCTCCTGTGTCCGTAAGTCGCTTCACAATCTGTGCTACGGTGGATCGTTTCTGTCCGATAGCGACGTAAATACAGTACAGCTTCTTTTTCTCATCGGCACCAGCGTTGCAACGAGCCTGGTTGATGATTGTGTCAATGGCGATAGCCGTCTTTCCAGTCTGACGATCTCCGATGATCAGTTCACGTTGTCCACGACCGATAGGTACGAGTGAGTCAACAGCTTTTACCCCAGTAAGCATAGATTCACAACAGTAGGTCGAGGAATAATGCCAGGAGTATCACATCAACACGAGAACGAGTCTTGCAAGCAACTGGGTCTTTTCCGTCAATGGGTGTCCCAAGGGCATCAACGAAACGTCCGAGCAGAGCTACTCCAACATGCACTTCGACGATAGCATCGGTACGCTTTACGAGATCTCCTTCCCTAATAACCTTATCGTTACCGTACACTACAACTCCTACGTTGTCAGACTCCAAGTTGAGTGCCATTCCCATGATAGCTGAGTCAAACTCCACCATTTCTTCAGTCTGAATGTTCTTCAGACCATAGACGCGTGCAATACCGTCTCCGATGGAGAGGACCTTTCCAGTTTCTTCGAGTTTGATGCTGCTCTCTTGACCCAAAATACGCTCTTCAAGGATCTTCGACACGTCTGAACCACCAACTGCCATGCTACGGGCAGTCGTTGTGATTCCTGCATTCTGGGACGCCTTCGCACTATTTGTGAGAGCAGTAATAAGCCTCTTGTACAACATTTTCCTCCTCGAGGTAGCTGGGAAGAGCCTTCGACATTCTAACAACAAGAGGAGCAATGACGAGAAATAAGCAACAAATCAATTCTCGTCCTGAGGTCGCCTGCTCTATTCATGTCTACAGTACAGCAGTGAAATAAATTACTGATTGAAACTGCAAGTGGAGTAGATGTACACATAAAGGACGATATTGAATGCGATAGAGCAATAAACAAGAGCTACAACAAGAATTCAATATTATCAGGACGACGATGAAGGACGGAGTGTAGGAGAACACATTTAATTCCAGAAAAGATCGAACTGATAAGTTTGAAACGTTGGACACGTTGTGCAAATTTGATGTGCAGCTGAAGTCTTTGCACCTTACGATCACAACTTGAAACCGGGACATTTTCAAGACTAACGACTGTTTTCGGAAGGAAGGAGGATCATGCAAGTATATCTTCAATCACTTCTGCCACCCGGTGCACATTCCCGATTAAACCTACAGTCTAAAAAATTAACGGATTAGTTTCGCCTCCACCTACCTTGTTTTGCAGAACGTAAACACCAGACTTTCAATAGAACGTTTCTTTTCAAAAAGTCATTCAAGGAAAAGTAATACTGAACGGCTACTGCAAATAATTCTTCATGAACTCTGTGCTGTGCTGTTATTATTCGACGAACCTTACGGGCTGCACGTTTAGACGTTTTTTGTGTCAACATGTCTTCACTTCCTTACCCAAGAAATGACAATTTCATGCCATCACCAGATTGTAGAAAAGAAAAGATTCAGACCTTTAGGAAAAATTCAATCCGGAGATAACTTTCGTTAGGAGAATATCGATCACAATGGGAAAGGATCGGCAACGAGAATTTGCTTATGACAATCGAACACATATGAAGAAAATCATCAGACCAAATTATCATTGGCCAAATTACAGGTAGCATGAGCACTTCTTCAAGCAACAAAATGAAAAAATGGGATTGATTCTGGATATTAAAAACGCAATTGAACACAAGACAATTTGAAGAACAGGCTGTGCAACCTCTGAGGAATGTATCTCGTGGGACTCGAAAATCCACAAATTCTGAGAAAAATTAAATTTTTTCGAAGAGCAACGAGAGCACAGTGTGAGAACATTGCAACAAAATATTAGAAAACCCAGTTGCTATGTTCATCTTCCTTGGCAAAAAGTAGAGGTTTGACTTCCACAAAACAGAGCTAGTGAGTTACATAGAACGGTGAGTGCTTGAAACAGTACTCAAGAAAGACGCAAGCCTCTTCGAACATTGTGAGAGGTCTTTATGAAGCAAATAATCTCAGAATTTCAGAGAAATTGCGNAATTCTGAGAAAAATTAAATTTTTTCGAAGAGCAACGAGAGCACAGTGTGAGAACATTGCAACAAAATATTAGAAAACCCAGTTGCTATGTTCATCTTCCTTGGCAAAAAATAGAGACTTGACTTCCACAAAACAGAGATAGTGAGTTTCATAGAGTGGTGAGTACTTGAAACAATACTCAAGAAAGACGCAAGCCTCTTCGAACATTATGAGAGGTCTTTATGAAGCATATAATCTCAGAATTTTAGAGAAAATGCCAGCTGAATGCAGTCGGGTTCAATACATGCTCATCGAGAATGCAAGCTCCCAAATGATCAATCCCACCTTCTCAACGAAATTTCCCCTCACCTCAATGAATATCCCTCTCTGAATGACGGACTTTATAAGGATCACTATTACCGCCGCTGCTCGAAATACCTAATTCTCCACCTCAAAGGAGTGGAAATCGCACTCCTTTCAGATAAAATCAAAACCTTCCTACAAATGCAGCATTACAAAGAAGATAGTGATTGTCATGGCTACCAAATTCTCCTGTTCACCTGTTCCAATATGAAAGGAGAAAGAGCGCAGATGGGTGACAGATAGCTGCCACATATCAAAAGCAGCATGTACAAAGCGAAAAGGCACGGAACGAACGTTGAGTTCTGAAAATCGACTGCGTGACTATAGGAGATGTAACAAAAGAGGGAAATGAAAAGCATTTCATGTTAATCCTCTCCATAAATTTAAATCAAATTAAAAAGAAGTCGGCCTAAAAAGCAATAAAAAAGCAGTTTGAATGCATGCGCTGAACCAGTTCACAAAGTGCGCAGGTTTCGCACTGGAGCACCCTTTTCTCCAATCGCTTTCGAATGCTCCAAATACCTGCTCTTCGCCTACCAAGTCCGAAATGGTTGTGAGCTGTGCGAGAACGGAAATTCCGTAAGCGTTCAAGCTCCTATTGTAACTTCAGTAGGAGCGTTACCATCGCTCTCGTTACTAACGCTTAACTTACAGGTATTCCTATAAAGCAACATTGGAAATTTGGGCAAGGTCTCCTCGTTGGTCAGTTCAGTTTTTCTGAACTACGTTTACAAATTTTCATTCTAATTGCAAATTTGTTTTTTTTTCGGTATAACACGATATAACATACAGTTTTTAGTTCTCCACCACAACAGCAAACTCAACTTAGACCATGCAGCCATCTTATTTGGGGCCCATCTACCTATTTTTTGCTAGCTGTTCGTTAAAAACTAAGGTCTGGAGTATCACCTTTGTATCCAAAAGTCGAAAGATACGCGACAAGCTGTAGGTGACAGATGGAAGTCGCTCCAGCTGGTAATGTCGAACAGACATTGTCGAAAAAGGTGAATACGACAACGAAACCCCAAACTCTCGCAGTAAGCGACAGAAAAAAATCGGTCCGACCTGTTTTGTACTAATCGCAATTTCTATTTAACGAAAAACCCCTTTTTTGTTCGATTTACTCATGTTCAGGTTGAGATAGAAGTGGACAATCCTAATAGGCATATGACCGTCCCCTTCTTCTTCTATGA